CTACGAAAGGATTCCCTGTGCCGTGTCGTCGTTATAGAGTAAATTAAGAAGGCTACTACTCTGTAACAATATAAATATATTCAATGAATATTTAATGAATTATTTGGTGAATAAATTAAATATTCAAATATTCATTTGGTGAAAAAAATCTTATTTGAATATTCAAATATTCAGTGAATATTTAAATAAACTATTCATCGGATCAGATCTCTATATTAGTTAAGGTTAGGGTTCGAACTAGTATTATAATTAAGGTTAGAGTGCATATATATATACAAAATTATATGTTAAAAACTTTTAATTAGAAGCCTAAAATTAGTTTATATAATGAAATTTTAAGATATTTGAAATTTTTGAAATTTTTTGTAATTTTTCTAATTTTTCGTTAGTTTTTGTTACACAAGATCCCGTGATCTAATTGGTCAATCATATTAATTTGCGATATAATAACCTGCGATATTTAACAATATCCTATAAATAATATTGCTTAGTTAATATTATATCTTAAAAGTATTAGTATTTTTAGCAAAAATAATAATAATTAAAATTAGAATTTTTATTTAAATTTAAAGAATAATATATATATAAGCTTTATTAAAAATTTATTTGCTTTATTGAAAATCACAGTTTAATTAATATTATTCTATAAAAATTAATGATTATAATTAATTTTTATCTATAGTAATACTGTATTACCCAGTATTATAAAATTTTTATTAAAATAAATTTACATATAGTTAAGATTAGAGTTAGACTTAAACTAAAGTTAGATTAGAGTTTGAGTAAAAAAGTTTTTATATATAAAATTCAAAGCTAGTATTCAAAAATCCCGGTTGATTCGGGATTGATCCGAATCTGATCCGAATCTGTAATTCGGACAGTTGATCCATGGTTTGTCACAATATTTGTCACAATTTATGTAATAAATTCGAAGTTGTCATGTAATAAATTCAAATATATTATATATTGTAACATAAAGTGTGATAAGATCGAATTTATTATGTGCCAAATTCGAATTTATCACATGTGATGATTATATAAAGACGACTTAAAATAGGACCCCTGAATATATTTATATCACCTTATTTTTTTACATCATCTTTGGTTGTATACTTAATAATACAATTTCCTAAAAAACATATATATAACTATACAATTTTGTTATTTTAATACTAGTAAACTTAATAGATAATACATCAATTATTACAATGAATGTTTTTTATAGTATATTCAGGGTCCTCTTAAAATTAGGCCCAATTCCACTCAATCCAGGCCCAATTCACGATTTAGGGTCCAAAACTAATCCAACAGTTTGGATCCGCACAAATCCAAATCAGATCTGTGCTGACTTTTTCGAACACTATTCAAAGCTGAAAACTTTTGCTTAGAAGTTGAAATATAGTTTCCATAATAAAATTTAGAGTTTTTAGTTTTTTTAAATTTTTTCTTTTCTTTGCTTCGTTTTGGTTACACAAGATCCAGTGATCTGATTGGTTTTTATGCAACTAGATGATATCACCTAGGGTGAAAGTTAACATTAATAATAAAAAAATCTAATTATATTAAATTTTTATAGCACGTGGGTACTGGAAGATGACCTATTAGCTAGTTCATTAGTAAAATTATCGTTATGAGTAATTCCGGCCTAATTTTTTGATCGTTGCTCTTAGCCAATCAAAATCGAGAATCCGCCAATCTAGTTTTGTTGCGGGAGCTCAGCTCCATTATGATTGAGTCGCAGAGCTAGCCGTTCGCATCACTACCTGTGACTGATACAGTAAATCTTTTTAGTACATACGTATTAAGTGATATCGATGGATATGTCAATCAAATTCGTATAAATTCCAATCAATTACACGAAATTTGAATTTGATTCATCATCGATATCTCAGGATCTAGTGATTGAATTTAGTACCATTTGAATCGTCTTGATGAGACGATTCGAATGATGCTAAAATCATCTAAATTCAATCACTAGATCCCAAGATATCAATGATGGATTAAAATCAAATTTTGTGTAATGTTACGAATTTGATTGGGATTTATACAAATTTGATTGACATATTCTGTATTTTTAAGCATAGATCAAAGCACGTGTCTAAGTTTCCAATTTTAGCTCTTATACATATATATATATACTATAAAATACAACTTTACAAGATTTAATAACTTTATAATCTTTTTTATCAAAGATTAATATTATCGATTAATATTATCGATTAATATTATCAATCTCAACTTTAAATTCATTACAATTGGAATTAAAAATTTTAACATCAGGTTCAATGCAAGGTATCGAAGAGCTACTATCATTGTTTTGTATTAACAAAGTACCATCAACATTATCATCAGAGTTATCAGAATCATTAGTAAGATTAACAGGTGGTAACCAATTCCAAGCAAACCAAAAAGTTACAATAGCATAGATACCGCCTCCAACTAAATCAACCATATAATGATGTGTCAAATACATACAGGCCCACCAAATCCAGAATACGTAAGTCAAACATAAGGGGCGAGATTTTGGTAAAGTGTAAGAGATGAAAAGAGTTTGGATAATTGCGCATGCAGAGTGTAAAGAAGGAAAAGCACCAAATACCATTGGAGAATCATTAAATGCAGTTTCATATGTGTTAAAATTGAACAATTCGTCAATACGAATCAATCCTCCAGCGTCACCCGGCATTGAGTATGTAGCAGGGGTATTCATTCCATACACGTATTCATACCCTATTTAAAGATAATTAAGATAATTGATTAACTTTGACATAAATATGTAAAATAAAAAAAAATCACTTTTTTATTATTGTTTACAATGTGGGGTCTGTTCCTTGAAAATGACCTTACGGGACATAGTAAATCATATGATCAAAACTTGATTTTCAAGGAACAGACCCCATGTAGAGTTAATATAGCTACAATAAAACATATACAGTATGGAACAGTATAAGGTCTCAATGCGCCAAATTTTATAACCCAGCCGGGTCAAATTTTACCAACCTTTTAAAAAAATACTATCCAGCTAGTTTTTATGTTTTCTTTATATATAAAAATATAATTAAAAGCCGGATTACCTGATCATTTTTTAAAAGTTTATAAGAACTAAAAAATTAATTTCTATGGCCTTATGTATAAAGCGTTAAATTTCTAAAATTTATATTTAAACTGTTATAACTTATTTAAAATTAGAAATATCAAAAATCTCTCTTTCAGATTTATTAATAAGTTAAAAGACTATAAAACTGTAAGAGGAATTTTTGTTATAGACTGTTTTAAAAAAGTTATACCAATTTAAATTTTACTAGTATAAACGGATATCTTATTCTGTCCCGTACTTTATCAATCACTCATACTATCTTCTGGGCTATTAAATACTTACACGGTGGAGAACAAGGAAATGCTAATTGAGTCAACACACCAGCAAGGTTCATATAACCAAAAGCCTTTGCAAAAACTGTCAGAATCCCGGGAGGACCAAACCACCAAAGCCCCAGGCTGGTGAAGAATGGTAGCGTAAAGTGAAGCACGCCATATGGAAGCCAAGCCAAGACATCTTTGAAAACATTTGTATGCATTGAAACGATAGTAGATAAATTATCTCCATATAAAATGGTCTCCAAGGCTGGTAATACCGATACATAAATATGAGGTCTTTTTGATCCAGGAATGAATCTACAGGAATAGAATAAAACCAACCAACAAGCGATAGGAAGAAATGGAAGAAAAAAAATTCTTGTGGTTGGATGATAAAGTCCAGCTGCAAATATGCAGACAATAAAAGATTTGATCCAAACTCCAGGTGAATCAATAATATATAAAAGAAGTAAACTTAATATGAGTAAAAAAACGTATTGAAGATCATATTTAGACCAATCGCGATTATATAAGGAAGGTGCATAGTCTTTAGGTGAAACCATTTATATAAATGGTTAAAGAAGGAACTTAAGCCCAAAAAAGACGAAAAATGAAATCCCCTGGAGAAACTCTAGTGAAATGGCGAAAAAACCTTGGCAAACCGGCAAAATCCTGATGAGACAACGCACGGGCAAAAGGAAAAGCTCTTAGTAAAGTACGAAGCTTCTGAAGAAAACGGCCTTTTTAAAATCTAATTAAACAATAAAAAAGGTAAGCATTAAAACCGAGTATATTGTCGTATATTTTTGAGCATGAAGTATATATAATTGATAACGTTTTAAAGATGTATTTATGTCAGATCATCGATACGGATTTACTTATTTTCGCGAGTAACACAAACCAAAAAGGAAGTTTATGTAAATAAACATAGTGCGTAAAGATAAAAGTTTGAGGCTAATAAATTTTAAAAATGGTCACCAAAAGATTATAACTATGTTTACTTATCTTTTGTGTAATACTCGAGCTGGCCAAAAAAAATGATATATGTAGATGCCAAGTAAATGATAAGTGATTTAAGGCCAAGAAAAGGACAATGCCAAGTCTAAGTACGTACGTAAATATTGCGGGATTGAAATGTAAAGGCATTTGTGCAAACGTTTGTCAAACTTCTATCAAAATTTTTGACAAATTACAGAGATTTCCTATGCTGTTTAGAGAGGACCCCGAACAAATTTTGGCTAAAAAGGTTACTTTTTACAAAAATAATATATTTGAAAAGCAGATATTGGTCATTTAAAAGTGGATAAAAGTTTTTAAAATTTGGAAAAGAAGAAATTTTTAAGAAAAAATTTTTTTTATTATTAAAAAAAAGCATTTTTTTTAACAAAAATTAAATCAATATAATTTTTTTCTATAAATATATTGTTTAGTTATCCGGCAAACTCATATGATCATGAAAAAATTTCTTCTTGTTATTTTTTTCATGTGTTACGATATAATTATGTTATTCCAATATTCAAAAAATAAAACTCAGCGAGCGACTCCCTACCAATCATGATCATAAATTGCCGGATAACACCAATACTGGGCAAATTGTTGAATACGGTAATTATATGGGCGGATTTGTTTTCACGTGATTATTGAGAATCCGTCCTCTGATTGGCTAATTTGTTTAATGTAATAATAAAAAGTGGTACTTGCTTTTTCGAAGCCACAAGTTTTATTTTTCAATATTGTGGTATGAAATTTTGTATTTACATTCAACAAGACCTCAGCTTAAAAGATCCTAAAATAGTTTTTTCAGATCCTAAAATAGGTGGGACTTTTACTAGTGACGATGTCAAGGGGCTTACCGTGAAAAAATAAAGGGCTATGTACAATATATGGCAAGAATAATCTTGAAGAAAAGTTTTGCAAACTGACGCCAGATCTTTTATCTAAAGTTATGAAAAGTCAAGCCGCTCCAAATTTAAAGGCAGAACTCAAATTAGATGACTAGCTGTATCAACAACACTATAATGAGCTAATAGCATTTAATAGAAACTTTCAACACCCATATAAAAAACAGAAATATGGGTCAAATTTAGTTTGCAATTCTGGTGAAAACTATGCTGAAGGCGAAAATACTAATGAAGTTAATGAAAATTTTGATATTTGTTATCAAGGTAATATATGTTCACCTGAAGATAAAAAAAAGGTATTCAAATTGCACTTGAAATTCATAGCGTATGGAAATTCTACTGGACAATTAAATGTTGGACATTGTTACCAAAAGGGAATAGGTGTTTTAGAAGATAGTAAAAAGGCATTTGAATGGTATTTGAAATCTGCTAGAAGTGGAAATTCCAATAGACAATTAAATGTTGAAAATTGTTACTAATATAGAATAGGCATTTCCAAAGATGAGAAAAAGGCATTTAGGTGGTACTTGAAATCCGCTGGGGGCGGGAATTCCAATGGAAAACTGAATGTTGGATATTGCTATCAAAATGGCATAGGTGTTCCTAAAAATGAAAAAAAAGCATTTGAATAGTATATGAAATCCACTTGTAATAAGCACTCAGATGAATAATCAAATATTGAAATAACCTTCACACCTCCAGTGTTTAATAAGAACAATAAAAAACGTACTTTTCAAGCATGCAATCAAAATCAAGGCAATATAAACGACTTGTTGCCTTCGGAAGAGATACAGAAAAAGGTCTTTCAGCGCTAATTGCACAACATCAATTGGTTACAAACAATGAGCAGTCTGCTGTTCATGTACAGTAGGAATCATAAGTATCCCACCCCCTCTAACTTTTTAAATTTAAAAAATATAGCTTTGAAATTTTTACAGCA